GCGACATAACAAATGAAACGATGATTCATCTGGAATTGTATTTCGCCTACTCGTTTTTGTTTCTCCTTTTTACGGGCGATTATGTAAAAGGCGAGGATTTAATCGTCATTGATTACACATCGTTTCGTTTACAAGACACATCGTCCCATCGCTTTTTATTTTTAAACAACGCCACCAATTTTATTTTCTCGATTACGAACGGCTGTTCGATGGTTTTACGCGAGAGAAATTAATAGAATCGAATACAGTTTTTTGATACACAATCGAGATTTCCTGGGGGATAATTGAGCTTAATAAAAATTATAGAAATAATCTCATCGTTAGAGACATTAGAATCAAGAAATATCAAATTCAAATTCGTTCAAAATACGAATCGTAGAGATGAAAGACACTAGTCTGTACTACAGAATTGTACAGATATTTTTTCGTGTATGGTGCAATGAAATTTAGACAGTTTTAGAAAATATGTATAAATTTGCTCTTTTGTTCTCTTTTGAAGTGAGGTATTTCGTTATTATAATATTTTTCGTGTTAGATAGAAAAAAAATTAGAACGTATTTTCTATTTATAAATCGATGTATTACACAATCGTACGTTGCACAATAATGGGAACCTTGAACGAAGCTGGGATTAACTACCACCGAACACTAAAACGTCGAAATCTGATCGCTCGTTCGATCATGCTCGGTGATATTCAAGGATTTTCAAGTTCAAGATTGCGTTACTCGTAGCTTCAAAATATGTTTCATTTGTCATAATGATTTATGAAACTAGTTAGATATAACTGGATGATATGACTCGTAAATATTGTAATTTATTTAAACCAGTTAAACCAGTCAAAGTACATTAACATAGATATACCTATATTTAATAGATTTTTCTAAAACTGCATAATTTTCCTCGCGGCACAATTCTTTATCTTTCAAGAGATGTCCATATTTTTACTTATAATAATAATACGAAACAAATATATGATACCTCGTCACGATAAATACGATACGTATATTTCATAGCGATTCTATATCTCGAAACGTTACACACTTTCCGAAAGCAAAACAGAATTAAAATGATAAAAGATGGCGCCGCCTGTTGGCCGGCTACACCGTTCATTTCCCTAGCTGAAGGGTCCTTTCAGAAGCACGAATAACCATTCAATAGCAATAATCGTGGCGCCTCTGGTATCGTAGCGCTTATCGAGCTGGTTGAGCAACATTCCACGCTTAGGAATGACCGCACTCATTCCCTCGTGTTCTCTCCTGCGAAAGGATTCTGCGGGAAGGTGCAGCAGTGCCTTCTCTCTCGTCACGCTCGCGCGCTGCACATCGCTCGTCCACGCAACAGGCTCGTAAACACGCTCGCACACGCGCGCACAAATTTCACGTGAAGGTGAAAGAAACAGGAAACCATTTCGTTCACCTGTTCCTCGCTCGAGAGACGCCGAAAATCGAACCCCACGAAGCCTTGATTCGACCTTCTCCTCCTCCACACACCAGAAGACGTTAAAGACTCTCGACACTCCTCGACCGGCAGCATTCCACGATTTATGCTTCTTCCTTCACATTTTTCATCCTTTCGCTTGTTTTTATCTCGCCCCTCGTCTCTTTTTTCCATGACTTTTTCGTCGCGTTATTATTATATTCCGTAATTTCTTCGTATATAGATTTCTTTTTTATCTTCGATCGATAATCAAAGTGATATTGTTTATCGGTAAGCATTTGAATACCGATAGAGTAATTAAGGAAAGTTGAGTCGTATAGGGTTTTTTTTTGTATTTCAAAAATTTTCTAGGAATTTTTGGTGATTAGAAAAAAAAATTTATTGAATTTTGTTTCACAGATTCGGGAATTTATGGATTCTGATAAATGTTGTTTCTATATTGTTTAATTTGTAAAATATCGGATCTAGAAAAACGAATTTCAATTTTATGTAATGTTGTATACTACATTCGAGAAATATACAGTATAGAATTTTTTTATAATTTTTCTTTGTTAGAATTGTCCTTGGAATTATAATGAAATATCATTCTTTTTAGATGAATCATTAAGGAAAAGAAATTCTTAATAAAGTTTCTTCTGGTTATTGCAAAGAAGTATTTAAAGCTTTTGCAGAATATTTTTCACGGTTAATTAAACAAGTGAAAGAAGGACAGGCTCAAGGATAAATAGATACGTCGAGTCAACTTGTTGAAGATTGAAATCTTCTTTTTCCATTTTGAAAATAAAATTATGAAATCAAAATTCATTTTCATAAAAATTGTTTCAAGAAATGAAATTTCGTGTAAGAAAGAATTAATTTTTCTTCGAATGCGGATATTTCACACAACAAACGAACGTAACTTTACGATCATGGATCACGCAAATTCTGCTCAACAAACAATGTAAGTTATGCAGTTTTTAAAACTCGTAAATTATACTATGTACATTTCTAAAGTAATTAAAATTCATCTTACGTAGATTACGATAAGAAAAATCTTACGGTATCACTTATCGTGTTATATAGTAATTTACAATGTGATACGATTCAATCCTTAACATTTTATCTCTTTTAACAGTATTACTCAATTAAAATATTACCTAATATTATGCATTAATGTAGAAATCTTTGTAAGAATAATTCTAAAGACTTCGATTTAATTTATTTTAAATGACCACTTTAAATAAATTTTAATATTATATATCAAAAATCTTTAGATCGATATTGTGAAGGATCGATAGACAGTTTGTTGTAACAAATTGTACGATAAAATATTTAATTTCACATTTTTTACGTAATACATTTTTTACAAATGTATAATAATAATTTAAAAATGCATCGATAAAAAGATTTTATTAATACAAATTATTAGAGATAGAATAATTTTTTTTCAATTATTTAATTGCATCTATAATTATAAATTAATCGAAAATTACACGAGAAAATTGTGTTCGAAGAAAAATTGAATGGCCATAAAATATAAATAATTATTTTAGATCAGTTCATCGATTATTTTTTTTTTTTTTAACAGATTATCGTGGGATAAAATGTTTCGATCTCGATTCGAATCGTCGAGCATAACTCGTTTTTACGAATTGAAAAAAAAAGCAATCGTGAATCTAAATCCATTTCATCAACGATCGTTACGACCGTTATATGTATGTTGCTGGCGTAATTCCGTCCAACTCGAGTAATATTGATGCAATGTGTCCCCATTAACAACCACTTTGTTTCAATGAAAGAGCTGAGCTTGCAATCCAAATATCTCGATTGCATTGGCGAAGCATCGAACTCTGGGAACAAGAGTGTGTCGACTCGATTTTATAATTCCTTGAAATTGATACTCGAGACGCGATCCTTGTGAGAATCCTATAGAGATAATTTCAATTAAGAGAACCGTGAGATAATCCAATAATAAATTATACTTATTCGATACTGTTAAAATTATTTTTTCATCATATTATGCGATTATTACAATTCAAAAAAATTTATTTTTCCCATTTTCTCTTCTTATTGCGTTGACGATTTTTATAATTGACACGAATATCAATTTCGAGAAATTATATCTTATATATTCGATTGTAAACATATTTTGTATTGCTAATAACGTGTTGTATCGTAGAATGAGAAAATAAGTAAATGAATTCCTTCCACGTTTCTTTTCTATACCGAGACAAGTCTACAATAATTCATGGAACAGTGGTTCTTGACTCTTTATATTCAATACTTATCTACTTTCTCCAAAGCTTCCAACTATATGAGTTTATATAAGTTTCTTGGCGACGTGCCAATAATGCTCTCGTATTCTTATCGATGATTAAACTTTACCGAGCACGTTACCATAAATTTTTATAGGAAAAATTCTCTTTAAACGACAACTTTGGGCAACTTCTGAATATATTTCCACAATTGTAATAAAATTTTTATCTTTTTTTTAAAAAAAACTTGCTACAATTATTGTGACTGAAGAGAAGATAATTAAAATTGATTATTATTACAATTATACAAATTATTATTATTATTATTTTATTCTATGAAATCGCGAATATATCGTGATACAGTGAAGATATAGGGAAATGCATTGTTCGTTTAATTTAATTCGCTCGATTCGGTTTGATTAATTTACGTAAAAAAAAAATAAATAAATAAATTCGTATCTCCGTTTTATACAGATCGCGATAATATTGTACAGTTACAAAATGTTACAAACCACAATCGAGGTACGAGGTGAAATTTGCATGCGTGCCAGATTTAGGAGATGCAACGAGTCCAACGAGCTATTCCAGCTAATTGTCATTACACTACCGTTGACCCAATCTGGCAATCTGCACAATTTGTCATGTCACAACCAGACATGATTTTTATTTTACAATCGGTCGGTATTGCGCCCAACCTTACTTACTTTTAATCAACTTTAAAATACCTTGGACGGATCTTGGGGGAGGGGAAGAGGGGGGGGGGGAGAGGGGGCTTTAACAATCTTCATCCACGATGGAATCTATCGTTCCGTGTATCGTGAAAGTTAATCGAACGATGGAAAAGGTATATATTGATTGGAAAAGAGAAGAGAATTTCGAAATAAACCGACTGCCATTTGTCGTCATGCATAAATCTTCGCTACGGATGGAATCCATTCGTTGCGAATCGATATAAACATTTTTCAATCGTTTTAATATAAAATACTTTATTATTTTTCTTATTCGCTCTGTCCAAAGAGGGATCAATTTTATTTCATCCTAGCAAATCCGTTATATTTTCGCATTCCTTTCGTTTCCATAATTGGAAATATAATAACACCTAATAAAAAAGGAATCTAATTAATTCTAATCTTAATTAAATCGTTCGTATTATCGACGATGGTAATCCAAGCGTATATTCGATTTGCAATCGAAATGCAATTATAAAGTTCGTTTGAAATTTTTGAAATTTTAGATAAATCGTTTCTTTCAATATCAATTCGATGTTAGTCATAATTATTTCGATAAAAAAAGAATTCTAAGTTATTAATTATTATTACTTAATTTCAGGTGAAAGGAATTTCTCGACTTAGGCTAGGATGTCACATCACAGCGACGACAACATGCTGATAGCAACCTCGGACTCGTTCTGGGAGCCGGGTAACTACAAACGAACGACCAAGAGGATCGAGGACGGGCACAAATTGTGCGACAGCTTGGTAACCCTGGTCCAGGAAAGGGCGGAGATCGAGAAGAGTTACGCGAAGGCGTTAAAGAATTGGTCGAAAAATTGGAACGACAAGATCGAGAAGGGGCCGGAATATGGAACCACCGAGGCTGCCTGGAAAGGTGTCCTCGTCGAGTCGGAAAGGCTGTGCGATCTTCATCTCAGGGTCAAGGAGAATCTCTGTAACGACATCATTCAGCAGGTGAAAACGTGGCAGAAAGAACGTATCACAAAGTAAGCGCAATTTTTCCTTATGAATCTGTGTTCTCCATTATATCGCAATCAAATGCTTTCGATATATTTCAATCTACAACGAATAATATATATGTTTCCAGTATCAAATAAAATTCTGCTCAAATTGAAAGGTGATCGACTAACTAACTTTCGGTTAAACCAACTAAACTCTTTTGGTTTTATCAACTTTCCGCATAAAAAAAAGAGAAAAATTTCTTTTCCCACGTAGGTTCTCATAATTATCGTTAATATGTTGCACTGTTGGCATCTGGTTCGATATTGCAGTCGATGATGACGCTGAAGGAACGGAAGGAGATGGAGGACGCGTTCAAGAAGGCGCAGAAACCGTGGGCGAAGCTTTTGCAAAAGGTGGAAAAAGCGAAGTCGGAGTATCACAACAGTTGCAAAACCGAAAGGACAGCGGCCAACATGGAAAGGAACGCATCGGCGGACAGTTCGCTTTCCCCCGATCAGGTAAAGACCATGGTCCGTCGTCCCTCTAATGCCGCTCTAATCAACCGTTACATCATCCTTCGCTCATACGATTAGCGCAATTGTTACGTTATTTAAGTCACAGTGCCTCGCTTTCAGAAGGTACTTTTTTTCATTGCCATATAATGTAATAACACGTAGACATTTATAATTTTAGAGGATCGTTTCGTTGCGTGCAACCTTATTTATCGATTGGGGAAACCTAACCTAACCTGATCCACTTCGGTTGAAGTTTCACGAGTTTGTAAAAAAGATTTATCGTGATTTTTATTCTATCGTGTATAAATCAAAATTTTTTTCTTTTTCATTGCCATATATACGATATAATAACACATGGATAGTTAAAATTTTGGTTTAGAGGATCGTTTTAATGTTGCGTTATTTATCGGGAAAACCTAACCTAACCTGATCCACTTCGGTTGAAGTTTTCACGTTATTCGAGTCTGTAAAGTTTTTATCGTGATTTTTATTCTATTGTTGCGCGTGGATCAAAGTTTTTTTTCTCAAAGTTCTTACGTAACTTAACCTAACCTAATCTAATCCGTTTAAAAGTTTCACGTTACGAAGTTTGTAAAGATTTATTATTTTATTATTGCGTACAGATCAAAGTTCTTATGCAAAGTATCGGAAAATTGTTCGTTCAATGTTTCAATTCGCGTCAGAATCGAGTGAAAAGAAAGTTTTTTTCTTTTTTTCTGTTATTACACGCAACCTCGATAACAAATTAAGTAACCTATCTTGTGTAAAAGAAAAAATTTTTTTAATTAACATTCTTTTACGCTGTGTTCAATCCTCCTTGATATTCTAAGTGAAAAAAATGAAGAATATTTTTATCTAAGGTATTTTTTCTAACATAATGTAATCCTCCAACTATTTCCAGAAGCCATTTGAAAGAAAAAGAAGGAAAAAACAAAAAAAAAAAGAAATTTTAAATATCGAGAGATAAAAAAGAAAAATTAAGCGCCTTCTAAAGCGAACTCTTGACAAAACATACATACGCGTATGCGCACACATACATAATGATACCATATGTACATGTGTGTGTAATAACTCTATAACATTAGTATGCATCACGATCACGCATTCGCGGCTCAATATAAAAAGTAGATACTGTTGTTCTTTAGCAAGTATTATTTTCAGATGGCCCGAGGTTCTGAAAACGTATGTGAACAAAAATCTCGTGTTCTATCTTTATCGAAAGTATTGCATGCCGTGTGTTGTTCTGTGTCCTCGATATATTTATTATCGATATATAACTAATACGTACTAATATGTATCTCGTTACCAACTTAACGCTTCCAAATTTTCGTGAATGCCCGATTAGTCATTTTCTGCACGTTTCGATTAATCCTTCATTCCTATATATTCATTTCGTATTAACTTCATAAAACTTTTTTTTCAATACATTACATAATAGTAATTGTTGATTGATATACAATTTAAAAAAAAAAAGCCTTCAATATGAGATTTCTATGAAAAAAGAAAAAGGTAAAAATTTGTTTTAAGGTTAAATAAAATTGAAATCAATCGTAGAATTTCGCACAAAGTTTTATATATATGTATATACGTATACTTTTATTTTCGATTTGTATTTTCACTTTTTATTATTTTTTCGAAGGCTTCGAAACCTGTTTTAAAATAGAAATAACGAGAAAAAAATATTATTACACGTCCCGGCATTCGAGAAATTCGATTAATCGCCATACGAGAGGCGATCTTCTGAAAAAAGGCTAACGACGTTTTTAGATGACAGTTTGTGGATGTGATGCATGGGCCCTCAGAATACGAAAAGCCTTTAGGAAATCTAAAATAGGAGACGTTCAGCTTGTATGTATAATAATACTGCATGCAGCATGTATCGTGATTAACGTTCTCTCATTTGTTTCATTACAGAAAGCTCTGCTGGTAAGCGAATTTTTATCTCACTCAAGCTTTCCTTCGATTAAAATGTGGATAATCCATATCATGCAAACATCGAGCCCTTTAAACAGTATTATAGTTTTAATAATTGTAATTTTTTTAAACAATTCGAAATAAGAAAAAAGGGTAATAGATTTTTTAAAACGTATATAAACATATAAAAGTGAAAACACTGTTAATAAAATTAAATATCATAACGGAATGCAATCCCAATCAATTTATTCCAATATCTAATTTCGTGCTCGATGATTGCTCGTTATTACTACTCCTAGAAATAAAGTGCAATGCTTTTTAATATATTCAATATAGAATTTTCTTTTATATGTTTTTTATATCTCTATATGCGTAATTCTAAATTCTTCTTAGAAATTAATTGCTTAGCTAGTCAATTTGTAATTTCAAGAAACATATAACCAACATCTTACAATATGTTTTACTACAGATTTTACAATTAAAACATATTACAACACAACTAGAAAACAACTTCGTGTATTAAATTATTATTATTTTTTATGTATATATATAATTGTATCGCATGAATCAATATTTGTTATCCAGCTTATAGAAATGTATCTATAGAAATCACGCTTATTTTTTTTTTCAAACGTATTCTTTTGCCATCACGATATCTATAAGCTAGATAAAAGCTTTGAGGGTAAAGAATTGGGATTTTCGTCATAAATAGTACAAAACACCCATGTGATAAGACGATCATTTATACAAAACGTATAAAAATTAGAAATATTTTTCCTTCCCCTCTAAATCACCAATGTGATTGGGTTTTTACCAAGATCTTTACCTTCAATGTAATACGTGCGATTATTCGAATTTCAAATGTGAATATTCATCGATTCGTTTTCTCTATTTAATCGGCAGGTGAGGAAAATGCAAGACAGGGTGCAGAAGACGAAGGAAGAAGTTCAAAAAGCGAAAGAAAAGTACGAAGCGGCGTTGCAAGAGATTAATCAGTACAATCCTAAATACATGGAGGATATGACCCAGGTGTTCGAAAAGTGTCAAGAGATGGAGGCGCAGCGGTTACAGTTCTTCAAAGAGGTCCTCTTTGGCATTCATAAATGCCTCAATATATCTCAGGATCCGATGTAAGTGGGTTGTAATATTATCACTATACATAATTTCATTGCGTATTTAATATGAGAAAAAGACTAGAGTGGAGATTTTTTTTTTTGTTCTGGTGCACTTATTAACTGTAATAATTTTTTCAGCATTCAATTTGTGAATATTTAATTATGATTATATTAATGAATTAATTTCAATCCTTATAAATGTCACTGATACATATTTTATATTTAATATGGATAAATAGAATAGATATTGGTTTTTTTATAAACCTTTAACCTTTCAAAAAACAAAAAAGATCTATTTATAGAGGATCAAATACTTGTTTCTCTCAGTCAACAAGTATTGCATTTGAATAGATTATACTTGATAAGCAAAAAAGTGCAGCATATAATAATAATAATAATTGTTTGAATCTCTGAAGATCTTTTGAAAGATTGAAACGAAAGCTGGATATATTAAAATTAAAAATGAATGGATCTACATCATTAGAAAAGTGTTTAAAACAAATTTTACTTGTCCCCATTTATAGATTACCACAAATATACGAAGAATTCTATCACACAATTAATAACGCGGACCATGAGAAAGATCTGAAATGGTGGTCGAACAACCACGGTGTAAATATGGCAATGAATTGGCCACAATTCGAGGTAAGATGATAAAGCACAAAATTACGCCTTGTAACCATTCTTTTTTTTTTTTTTTTTTTACGCATGTTATCTCTTGCTCATAGTTGAGATCTAATGTTAGAAAGTATAGTGGTAGCGTGTATTGAAAATATTATGTATTCTTGTTCTTCTTTATAACTGCATTAATATCGTTCCCTTTTTATATGTCTCGATATCCTTTGGTATCCCATTCGAAACAACTGCGTTATAAGCAACTGGGGTCGTTTAAGGGTTTTAAAAAATATAAGTCGATACATTAAATTTCTCCTTAATATGATACATATATTTATAGATTAAAATTTCCTACTCTACATTGGTCTTAATTACAATCTTTTCTGTATCAATTTTAACTTTACAAATCTAACAACGTAATCCCGAAATTATCTCATTACCTCAATATACACAGAGTAATTTTATTGAACATAAATGCATCCGTCTCTCCTCTTAACACAACTTGTATCCCAATGATACAAATGATTGAATTCTTTTGTCAAAGCTTTGAAAAAAAAAAAAATAGAAAAATAGAAAAATATAATACAACCCCCATGACGATCGAACAATTTTCCGGAATGCATGCATGTGATTGTCTATTTTTTTTCTTTTTTTTTTGGGCGTTGCTATTACGCAGGACTACACAGAGGAGTTCCGTGACATCGCCAAAGGCTCGAAGTCAAAGGAGGCACTTCCGGCTGGCTCCATCACGCTCATCAATCAACGTCCGGTCGGCGAAGATGTGCATGTAAAGTTTTGTTATGTTTTACACTACACAATTCGCGGCTTTCGTTTACACCACCTGCCCAGATACGAAAATTCATGCACACACATGTATAAAGCGCATAAAAAAGGAAATCGTGCTTCTTTTTTTTTTTCTACCGATCGACAATCACGAAATAACGTCGAAACTGGCAAACACGACGAGGTCACCGAGGATGGGTTTCCTTTTTCAGCTTCTGGTTCGCCTAACTTAACTGAATTAACCGTAATCCGCTATGCGCTTGTTTCTTGCACGTAATCGCAGATCTATATCACGGATACACGCCAAGCATGTTGTTTCCACAATTATTTCGATCGCTCGGGGCGAATTTGCGATTAGTTGAGTCAATTAAACTGTGAAACTGTTTCGATCGATCTTTTTTTCAATTAAGATTTACGAGAAAAATTTGGTAAATGCCCTTTGATAGAGAAAAAGTTGATTATGTAGTAACGATTCTGTTTAAAAGATGGGCGTCACTTCGAAATTTGTAAATATTAAACAACTTTTCAACAAATTTGTTCTGTTAATTATTAATATTCAAAATATTTGAAAATATTTAACAATGCAGTAGCTGCAATCAGTGAAGATCGTTTTTATCTAATTATAATGTAATCAAGATGCCGGTGACGCGAATTGAACGTGCATCGATTATGCAGACGATTGTGAATGAGTAAGATTAGCAAACTGGTACTTGGCATATCAAAGTAAAGAGGAATCGTATCTCTTCAGAAAGATCTTAAGAAAAACATCGATATTTAAAATTTGATGGCTGCTTGATGATATTTTCTGCATCGTCGCAATTTTTGCCGAATAATTTTATTTTTTATTACACGTTTTTATTATCGTAATAAGGATCTGTTAAATATAATATGTTGAGTATATTTCAAATCTAAACTGTAAATTCGCTCTATATTTGCTTTGTATGCTTAGCAAACACGACTGTTAGCATTGTGTCTCATTACCCTTTGATTATTATTATTAATTGTTTATTATTAAATGGCATCGAAGCATAAGGCAAACATGTTTGCAACCAGAAATCGTCTGCACAATTAATTTACACAATTGCCACGCCCATAACTATAAATTATGTCTTTCCATTGTAATAATGAATATAGTGTTAAATTCTCGTTGTCGCATAATATATGGCACAGTTAAAGAATCAATATTCATGAAAGCAACATCTTAAAAATAATAATAACAGGCAAGCACATATATTGAAGCATCATAATTTTAATTCATTTTGTGTACTCATTTTCGTTTCAACGCGAATCATTTTACATTTTTTTTCTCCAGAATTTTTGTTGCTTAAAATAATTTATAACATGATAATAAAATTTTCATTATATCTAAAGATTTTATTCAATTTGTAGAAATAACAGATTAAAAACTTTGTAAATAATTAGTATATATACACGCTTATGATTAAATATAATTAAATATAAAATCTAGATATCATACATTATCTATTTGGTTGCACGCATGATTTAAAAAAATAACATTACAAATATTTATAATTTCTCTATCATATATTTGAAAACGATGTAAATACAAATGTAGCTTCAAATTTTGTAAAATAATATTTATATACATATTAATTTATTTATATATAATCATATAATGATCTTTCATCGATATAGGAATATCCACCTGTTAATAATAAATCAAAATCGAAGCCCACTTCCCGAGTGATATCAACAGATGTTAGTCATGCAGACACAAAAACGGACACGATTAACTCCAGCAAAAATTCTTCGGAAAAGAACAATCACGATGGCAATGCAGTAAATAGGACCTCTACAATGACGTAAGTGTTGAAAATAATTTAAAATTAATTATTTTAAATTAATATTAATTTTCTATTTTTTTAAACTAAAATATTTAATTTTTAAAATAACATAAAATTATTTCCATCTTTCAATATATTATTTTATATATTACTATTTGTGATTAAACAAAAATTATAAATAATTTTTCTCTCTAGTAATGGTACAAATGTTAAGCAAGAATCAAATCCATTTGAAGAAGAAGAATGGGATGAAGATAGTGGTGAACCATTGGTTGATAATGGAGAACCTGGCGTTCTTGTGCGCGCGTTATATGATTATGAAGGAGCTGAAGCAGATGAACTTAGTTTTAAACAAGGTATGATAAAGGGTATTCTCTCATAATTATCATAATTTAATATAATTATAAAATTATTTTAAATATCAAATAATATACAATTTTGTTTTTTGAGATATCTTTTTGAGATTCTATTAATTGCATTAAATAGAAAATTTATTAATTTATGTAATTTTACATTTTCACAGGCGATGTATTTGATAAATTAGAAGACGAAGATGAACAAGGATGGTGTAAAGGACGAAAAGATGGTAGAGTGGGTCTTTATCCTGCAAATTACGTAGAACTTGTGTCTCCGTAAAATTACCATGTAATGCCAAATTATATGAACATTGTTAGTTACTTAACACGTAACGCGTATGGAAAAAAAAAGAATTTTTATTTTATTGTTTATTTCTCTATGAAATAGCATGTTCGTTAAAAAGAAGAAAATTTGTAAATGTCGTTAAATAAGAATTACAAGAGACTCTATATTAGAAATCGTTCATTTCGTGTATTATACATATAATGAGCGCTAAAAAAGACGAAAAAAGTTATATGATAAACCTTATGGTTCAAATTATGAGTAAACAATTGAAATTCAAAAAAATTATTGTAAACGTGAAAATGAAAATGCATACATTTACTTCATTCTATTTCTCAGTTCGATGTAGGGTCGATGCAATAAAACTTAAAACGAAACTTTTACTTTGACGAGTAATAGTTTTTCGTATATAGCTAGGATTCTCTATATCCATCTTTATAAATTAAATATGTGCTAAATAATAAGATGGATATGTACACCATGAGTATATTATAAGTTTAGATTTTTGAGATAATGTACAATTATACATTTTTCGACATTATTAATATTGTTACTATGAAATATTTCGGCGAATGCGACGAAAAGTATATTTAATTTATTGTTATTCAAATGATACTATTAAAACCTATTCTTTCCGAATGGTATCATTGTATATAATAGATTTAAGAACGTAAACGATATGTAAAGTTGCAATTGTTTAACGAAGTTGAGATTTTATGATGTTCAAAGTACATTAGTACGAAAAGTGAAAAAAAAAAACTTGAGAAATGTGTACATGAAATGTACCCAACAAATAAATTTGGGACCCAGAATTGTCCAATTTTTTCGTTTTTTTTTTTCTAATAATTACAATGTTCTAATATTGATAAAAAATTATTTATATATAAAAAATCAAATTATAATTAAAAATTATAATAATCTGAAAATATTTGCTTTTTGTACATAATTTCTTATAATAACATCAAGGCAATGTTGATCGTTTATGAAAATGAAGTCATAATACCCTTTTTTTAATTAAACAAAAAATTTTATATAAAATTAAATGTATAGCATTGAAGGTATTTCATATAATCATTATTAATTTTTTAATAAATGTATCACAATTTCAGAAATATGGAAATGAAAGCGCAAAATAAATTGAAAACAATTAAATATTTTTTTATAATAAATTATTTGATAATTAATTAATTAAATTAAATATCATCATTAATATCAATATGTATCTTTATGAATACATATTTTCAAAAATTCTAATATAGAAATATTCTCTTTAAGTTAATATAAAGAACATGCAGAATGCAGAATAGTTGTGAAACCAAACAAATTGTAGATTTAAATGGTTGAAAATTAAGCATTTATTATAGTTTTCCATTTAATTAAACAAATTTTAGAAACATTAAAGTTGGCATTAATAAAGTCATTTGTTATTTAAATATCACAATCTTGCTAAGCGCTCAGAAAGATCAATTTACAAATCAAGTCAAATTTTCATGGTATATAGTGATAAATGCTAATTATTCGTCACGAGTAAATAATGTGTTACTACACACAGTATTTATGTAAATATAGTAGAATATAATAACATTTACAATTCAGCCAGTGACTGATTTTTGTAATTGTTTATATTTAGTCCTCCAAATTATTTTCTGTAAAGAATGTTCGCGATTCCATAATATTGTTAAATAGACTATAGTTTGTGTATAAAATTTATTATGTATAACTTAATAAATGACATATGTACGAAATATTACATAATACATAATGCAGCGACTATTCTCACTTATAAATATTACAATATGCTGATACATTTCACAAACGCTAATTACATTCACAAAAATTTGTAGCATGAAAAATTTAATTGCGAAAATGACTTCAATAATAATCACGCTTTGACCAAAATAATTACAATGTAAAATCTTTCAATGAAAATTATTTAAAGAAAAAAATTAATGTGTAATATTATATCATAAAAACATATATTTGCATATTCATCAAATTTCATATATTAAATTTCATTTAAAAAAAAATTACAATTTATATTAACTGTTTCTTTAATCGATCCTATTTCTAATCAGTTTTATTTGCTACATATTATGAGTTTTTTATATTAAATCGCATTCCCATTGCATCAGTACTAATTGATACTAATTGGTATTACAGAACAATTTAATCGATCGGTTTTTTGTGATATATTTCCATTTTATTGATATCGGTTAATTGACTAATCGTATTCGATAATTTAATAACAAATCTGATAATTTGACCACCCAATTGTTGATTTCGGCGCGATTTTGATATTTATCGACATCAGTTGATAAATCGATCGGAATATCGTTCGATTTTTCAAGTCATACATAATCCAAGTCGATGTACAAGTCAACACTTGTTGGCATTACTGAATAGTTTTATCGATTAAATGCTAACGCAATGGAGACGCGACTTTATAATCATATATGTTATAAATATTGTTTATACATAAATAATCACTTTGTATTACGAATAATTTTTATTAAGTATTATGTACACAAATTTTTAATACATTTATATTTATATATGAAATATTTAACATATATATATATAAATGAATTTTTTATAATTCTAAATATTGTATGTTAAAATAATTATCTTAATTAACTCTTATATTTAATTTACAAATAATCATATTATTTATTATTTTATAAATTTTCAATATTTAAAATTTTTGCATTTGCAAGTATATTATTATTAAAAATATTAAACGTCGTTCAAAAATCAAGTGCAATACAAATATTTCATAAATAAAAAAATGGAAGCGAGTTATACATTATAATTTAAAGACTGATTTTAAATTCTTAATATATCTGAATATTATTATACATATTTATATTTATTATATTAATAAAAAAAATCGTTTTAGTCATATTATAAATTACAAACTCAAAAATCATTGCACACAAAATTACATGAAAATATTTGGGTAGCTTATTAATATACAAAACGATTTTACAAAATTTGTATTTAAAATTATGTATTTAAAAAGTAATAATTACATTAGCGTTACCAGATTAAGGAAATAATCGGAAAAAAACGAATGATAATGGCAGAGTAACGACACCATTATTAATCACTCATACTTGAAGAGTGGCAGAAGGGGTACTAAAATATATATAACACATTTTTTTATAAGGGAATTCTTCTGGCAACGCTAAATTATATTAATGAGTTGCAACATGTTTTTGCAAATCCTCAAGACTGGGAAATGGTTTATCACATAACTGACAAACATGTGCATTTCCATTATGTATATCTAAATGTTCTGACAAATCTTCTTCTGTATCAAAAAGTTCATCACAAATCATACATTGATATTCACAAGCTTTTATTCCTTGTTTTTCCCATTCTGCTATTGCAGCTTCTTCTTCATGAGCTTGCATGTGCATTTCTAATAACATTTCTGAATTAAATGTTTCTGTACATTGCAAACATTGATAAGGTTCTTCATTTGACTTATCATTTTCATTGGCAATATTAATAAGATTAGGATTATCATCTTCTTCATCAAATAAATGTTTTTCAACATGTGCCTCTAGTGCTTCTTCAGAATCTAATGAATCTCCACAAATTGCACATTGATATTGTTCTTTACCAGGGCTTTGATCATCCTCGCTTATATCATCACAATGTTTTTGTAAATGATCTTTCAATATTTCCTCATCTGTAAATATTTTATCACATACAAAACAAGTATATGTTTCTTTTGGTTTCTCTACTCCCGACACAAAATTTCCTCGACTTTTAGATATTCCAATTTTCTCTGACTGAACATTGCTTATTTCTATTCTAGAATTATCCGATTTTATTAGACTATTTTCTATTTTTGAAAGTTGACCTTTTTCGGATTTTAAATGTACTGTTTCTTTAGAATTTTGTGATGTATTCGCATTTAATTTCTGAGTATCCCCCTTTGTTATATTTTCTATATTAAATTCAGATTGATCATGGCTTTCTAAATGGCGTACCAAAAGTTTTTCAGTTCGGAACGTAGAATTACATACATAACACTTGTGAATTTGTTGTTTTGATGATTTACATACATGAGCTTTTACAAATCTAGCTTCCACTATTTCGTGACATCTCTTACATCTCATCATTTTATGTTTATTATGTCGCGATATAGAAGTAGTCTCCGTTTTATGCATACGAACATGTGTTACCGCATCATTATGATTATCAAATGATTGTTCGCACACGCCGCATATATGTTTCTCACCATGTGATGAAATTATTTTAAAAACATTTTCTTGAATTTCTATCTTATGCTCATTTTTAACAACAGTAGAATCCGCAATTTTTGACTCTTTTATTTGTTTCATAATATTAATTTGTTCTTTATCTTCTTGTAATTTTTGTGTATTATGATTATCTGGCTTAGAGGCTTCAGATGTTTCATCTGATAAATATGAATCAGAATCTAAAGCGGAAGTATTATAGTCATTATATCTTATTGGTAATACACTTTGTCTTTTATGAGAAACCATACTAAATGGTCCGCCGAGTTTATTTTTAACTGTACGTTTAACTAAAACGTGCATATTATTAATATTTCGTTGTATACTTTCTTTTGTTAAATCTAAACGTTTTAATAGAACTTTCGGTTGATACTTTTTAGAATTCATAGCCTCTTTTACAAATGCTGGTGAAACTTTTCCAGACTGTTGAGAATATGGATTAAAATCAGAACCACAACTTCTCATCATAGATGATTCAAAATTTTTCTTTATAGTTTTTTCTATAATATTTTTCAATTGCTGATCTAAAGTTTGATATGAAGTTTTACATCCTGCTTTATTCTTTTTTACATTATCATTAATTGTTCCAAATAATCTATGTTTCATTTCTTTCTCTACGAAACCTGCTAATTCAACTTGTACACGTTTTAATGCTTCTATTTCTGTTCCTTCCACTTCTATATTTAAACATCTCTCAATACATTTTTTATTATTAGCATCTATTGGAACTGGATTAATTCTACGAAGTTGTACAGCATCAATAATATCAGTATTTTTTTCCTGAGAATTTTGTTCAATAGTCCCATTTTTAAATTCTTTTGACAAAGTATTTAAATTTGCTTTATTTAAATAATGGGGTTCTGCAAGCATTAATGTAGAAGTAACAATATATGTAGCATCTCCAATTTGTAATTCTGATTTTACTGAACATGGTGTAAATGTGTCTTCAATTATTTCTATTCCATTTTTTTCTGATGATTGTTTTTCAATAACTTTTTCTGGCAATAATACAGGAAGACTTTCTTTCTCTTTTAAATCTTCAGAAAATTTATCTTTTTTTATTTCAGTACATTCTTTCACAGACATATTTTTACCTTCAGTTAATGAAACATCAGAATTAATATCTTTAAGAGATCTTGTTCTATGCGTATCAGAATCACTATCTACACTCATAAAATTATTTCTATCATTTTTAGTGGTATATTTATCTGTCATATTAGTTTCCAAATTTTTTAATACTCTAATCAATCTTTTTTGCTTCTCAATTTCTTTATCCATATTTGTTTTCGCTCGTGCCTTTTGCACAGGTGATAATTGTGTATCATCTGATGCCATAGAATCTGTATCTGAAACAGATTCTCCTGTTGCTGCAAGAAGTGCCTTTTTTCTTGCAACCCATCTTTTAGTTGATGCTTTTCTTCGTTCAGTTATATTGCGTCTTCCAGTTAATGGCTTAACTTTCATTGGAATTAATGTTGGTTTTAATTGAATGTTATCTTTATTTTCTTGTTTTTCACTATTTTTACATTTATCATCATTAGAAGCATCATGTGCTTTTTGTGAAGAATCCTTTGAAGATGTAACATCATCTTCAGATATATACATATCTTTGAGAATTGTTTGATTTGTTATGTTTTCATTATTTGTAAATTGTAAAGGAATTAATGCTGGTACATCTGTTTTTGATTTTTTCTAAAATAAATGTTTTTATGATTATGAAATTTTATATTATTAACTAAAAAATTAAAAAATAATTGAAAAATTGTTAAAAAATTATTATTATTTATACCTTATCAAAAGAATCAGAAAGACTATCATCTCCACTTTGTTCTAAAGTACATGATCTTTTGGACTTAGAATTCTAAAAAGAACAATTAGAAAAGATAATTAAAATTACAAAATTACAAAATTATGAATATATATATGAATAAAGCTTTAATAAAAATATTGTGTATATATTATATAATAATAATAGTATTATATATATATATATATAAATATTATTTTATATATTTGAATTATAAAATATATATAGATATTCAATTATATAAATAATATAATTAAAAATTAAAATTAAATTAATTGAATTTATTTTTTGAATAGAAACTATTTTCTTTAAAGTAATTATCTCACCTCATTATCAGAAGTTTCTATAAGTTCCAATTGACTTAATAACATTTGATTTGATCGTATAAATTGTTCTTTAAATTCATCCCACATGTCCAATTTGTAGAGGCATATATGACATATAACATTTGGTAAGCCATGCTCATCTTTAATCTAGAAAAAAAAAATACTCTATTATAGAATAAAAGAAGCATATTATTAAAGTTAAAAAAGTGGTATATAAACATACATTGATAGAAGTACATTTACTTAAATCAGTTAGTCTTGATTGTATAACTTCGTCAAATAAATTAGTCATACATGCATGATCAACGAGGCAAATACGGCATCTTTCTTTTATATTTGATAATTTACGTTTTCTCGACATTTTTCCACTTGTAGGAAAAGCAATTATGCGTATCGGTATTGATACCGAACACTGTGAATATGTTACGAATAAACTATGGCGGGTGCAATAACGATAGATCGATATATTCAATATTACCAGAATTCTTTTTTTACAAGAAAATTTGCTATATTTCGATATTCATATTGTCACTTTTTAATTATTTAAGTAATAAATAATAATAATATTATTTTTTTCCACTAAATTTATCTTCTAATTTTATTCCATATATCGAAACAAAATTCGTAGATATGTTCAAGTTATTACAATAAATTGCGTGAAAATTTATAGTAATAAGTATATTTTATTTTTTTAATTCCATGGATTTAATTACAAATTTTTTTAATTGTTTTGCAAAATGATAAAAAAATAACTTTTTGAGAAAACAATTCAAAAAGAAAATAAATAAATTTTTGCATAAAAGGAAAATGGATAGAACGATTAAGGTGGATTTTCAAGAAAAACTGCTGTAACTATTAAAATAATTCATGTTTGTAAATCAAATTAAGTAGTCTGTATATTATATAGTTTATATACATTTAATCTTAAATTTAAATTCTTAAATATTAAATTTCACGAAAGTAACAAAATAGCATTATATAATACTCAGTATCGTTATGTTTCTAATATTGTTTTATCATATACAAATTAATACGCATGATCAAGATTTACATCGTTTACTACAGAAGTAGCTTCATAGGCTAAACGTTCAATTTCTCTTTGAGCTGCAATTACTGCATGTTCATCGGCGATTTTTTGGTAAAGTTGAATATGTTTGTCCTTCGCTCTTTTCACACTTGCAGAATCCTATAAAATATTGTATAGATTAGCAAATGAAAACTATTTCAAATTATTTTTACCTTAGTAATGAAAATAAATCTTATTTAAATATATTTGTTATAAATATAATTGTTAAAAAAAATGCATACAAAATTTGCGATATTTTAAATAAATACAGAAATTCAAATTTTAAATAAATGATTTTTCGAAAAATTTTATTATGATCGAAATTATTCCTAACCTAAAATAGTTTTCATTATCATTATTTCTATCAAATTTCAAATATTGGCATTACGCAATATTTTTATTTTTATTATTATCTAAATTTTAAATTAAGAATCCATAGAAGAAAAAATTATATGTTCATTACTCGTGGAAGATTGACTGGAACACCATGAGCATTTGCTTCAGCTATCTTCTGATACAATCGAAAATGTTTTTCCTTTGCGAGTCTCACTGTTTCAGAATCGACAGGTTGAACAACTGTATCTTCATAATTTATTAAAGATGCGTGAAACCCATTTTCATCGGCTATATATTGTACTGTTCGTATTTTATGTTTGGGATCGATAAAAGAATAAGAACCTAAAAAATATATAAAAAAAATAATTTTTTTAATTAGAAAAAAATTTATTTAATTTTTTAAAGTTCAATGTTGGACATTTAATAATTACCTTGAACATGTCCGGTACCATCTCCACTTTCTTGATGAACACGATCTATATTTCCAGGATATCGTCCTGCTTGATAATGAAAGCTATAAGGTTTAGGAGGCGATGGTGAAGTAATCGTAGATGATTCTGACAAAAGATGTGATATGTCCCCCAGGCAAGGGCTAATCAGAATAAATGCGATCTGATTCGAAAGTGTAATCATCTAATTAGTTATATTTATTAATTTATTTTAAAATGTAATTTAATTGAATGTAAATTAATTGATACTATTTTATAATCACGTAATTGCTATTTTAATAATTTTAATAATAAAAGCTTATTTTTTTATTAATAAAAGTAAAAGAAATTTATATATCAGAAACAAAGAATAAATATATATAGATATCAGATGATGAGACTTCAAATTAAATTCCAAACTGATTACGGAATCATCTGATCACATCATGCAATAACTCTACGAAAAAAAAATTTTTTTTTTTCAAAAAATATTGTAATAATTATTATTATTATTATTTTTATTTTTTAAAGATCTTAAGCATTTAATATGTCATGAACGACGAATTTTTATGAATGAAATTATTTAATAATTTAATTATTTAAAATTAAAATAAAATATCAAAATTAAGATATATTGAGGATGAAATAATGATTATATATTTTAATAATACATTAAAATATATATATATATATATTAAATATTATAAAATTACAATAAAATTGTAATATACTTACTATTAAATTCTTCATCTTTACAACTGTGACACTTCGTGTAGATACTTTCGTTTTCACGAATCGATATAAACTGAAAGAGTCTGCCAGTGAAAGTAATATAAGAAACTGATGAAAAGATAGAAGCAATATGTATTAAGTCTGTTTTAACATTGATGCTTTTTCGAATATAATATTTTTTTATAGTAAAACTATATAAAAAATTATAATAAAGGAACTTCTATAATTAAAGAATTAAAAATACAACAAAAATAAAAGAAGAAAAATGTTTATGCATAAATGATTTATTTATTCATTATTTAAAATTTTCTGGAATAGATACAATATAATCAAATTTAAAGAATTTGTTTAAAATAAAAATAAACATTAGTTTAGTTATTAAGATTTATATAAGATTATGTATTGAAAATTTAATCAATATCGAGTTTCTTGAAAGTTCCTTCAACACCAAAAAGATCAGTTGCTGTTTTTCCTTTACCCATTCTCAAAGATTCGTTAATGACTTTCTTTTCTTCTTGTAAGAACCAGTCGCGATTGTCCTCGAGCATTTTGATCGTCTTTTTGTGAAATTCCATTAGAGGACCAGCTTTTCCACCAGTCTCATTTGGTAATATATCTATAGGTATAAATTTCGACAACGTATCTAAAGTTGTATGTGTGTGAAGCTAGAAGAAATTTTTAATATTTTCAATAAAATCTTTGAAATTTTTATAATTATTTAAATTATTAAAACATTCAAAATTAATTGGAATAAATTAAAATAGTATTACCATATCTAATAATTCCTTTTTCATGAATGGTTTCATCATATTTAATATCACATCCATTACTGATGTAATATTCATAAAATGAAATCCTTTTAAACGAACTGGTAATGCTTCCTGTAAATAAATAAGATACTTTTTTAACCCTACAGGATTTAGTCGAGCAGCGTGTCCGAAAACAACATTCTTCATATCGAATAAAATTATATGTCCATTTGTTGTGCCTTCCCTGTGAAGCCATAGATCAAGAGTCATGCTCAAATATTTCATTGTATCATTATAAACGTAATTTGAAGGATCAGGATCGATTAATCTTCCATAAAGAATCGCATATCCTTCTGGCGTTTTATTTTCTAAGACTTGAATGGTGCTAAAACAAATTTTATAAAATATAAATATTAATATATATTTAAAAAAAGAGATAATAATTTAATAAGATAAAGTTTAAAAGATAAGTAATAAATTTTATTTATATACAAATGATAATTGAAAGATGGGAATTAAAAATAATGATTATGCAAATGAAGCATATTTCATACTATGTTTATATAATTCTATTACGATTAATTTCTTATAAAAATGTTTTTTGAAAATTGAATTTTTTAATATATTTTATTCTTTTTAAAAACATATAGAATAATATTCTATAGAAATTATCACATTTAATATTAATTTTTACATTTAAATATATTTAATTATTTTTTTAATTATCAGAGAAATACTGAAGACAAAAATTAAGTAAATAATTAAATAATTTATAATAAAAAAAAACTTACACAGTTTGAAAAGCTTTCCTTAATTCTTTTGATCCCAAAGGATCTCTATTAGAAAAAAATTCAGGAACATGGGTTTTTATAGTGAAATATGTATCAATAGTTGTCTTCGTGATTTCTATTTTATAATAGTTACTGTGTAAAAATAACGCCAACTCCGAATCTGTTATTGGTGGTAAATGAGGTTGTTTCTTGTACCATTCTTTTAATATTTGTATGTCTTCATCTTTCAATTCTGGATTTTTTTTCAATTCTTCTTTATATGATATTCCTTGAAATGTGCCCATTTTTGCGTACAAGTTTCTTAAAAATATATGTACAATTTTTTTACTAAATAAAAACAATATTTAACAATATTGTTTTATTATTATTTTAATAATGATAAAAAAACAAATTTTATAATAATAATTATACAAATCGCAAATATAATAGGAATATAATTCTTTTAACTAATAATAAAACATTCAAAAATATTTGCATTTTAAATTATTTCAATTAAATTTTTACAGAAATTACGCTTGAATTTATCAAACAATTTAAATAATATATATGTATAACAAAAGTAAAGCACTTACTATATGATAGAAGAAAAATCTTTGTTTTGTAAAGATCACGTTGATGGTTTGAATAGTACTGACTATCATTCAAGTACAATCGAGCAATGAAATGAGTTAGCATCATATAATCGCAAACAGCATGATAGTTGCAAGGTTGTCAGATTTATAATGTTAATTTATATCTTTGAATAATATTAAAATTATACATCTTTGAATAATATAAAAATTATACTATCAAATATAAAATATATATAAATTATACATATATTATTTATAATATTAAAAAAAATCTATGAAAAAAATGTTACTAATATAGAATATTTAATGACAAATTTTTATATTAATTTATAATAAATGCAATATATATCTTTTTTCTTATTTTAACTAGCAAACATAAATTGCAAGTCAGAATGTACTATGTAAAAAAATATTTAAAAAAGAATTAATATCCTAAGTTTTTGTCAAAGGAATATTATTATAAATTATAATCATAAAATATATTATTTGAATATTATTTATAAAATAATATTACATATAGCAAAGAAAAGTGCATTGTGTTATGTTTATTTTTTGTCTAATTATCTTTCAAATAATCTTTCAAATAAATTTAAGTAATATCGAGTTTTTATAATTTATATTATTATTATTACATATAAATTTTTTAAGTGTTAATCCAAAATATAATTCCTTCTTTTTTTTTTAGAACAATTTCCCACCTAATGATTTATTTTTCAAATCCACTTTTAAAGAAAGAATTTACAGACTTTGAATTATATATAAAAATAATGGATTTTTTTCTAATTTCAATATCTAAGCTTTTTCTAATTTTATTATTTTAAGAAATTTTTTTCATTTAAAAATTCAAATAAAAATTGGATGGAATATATTATTATATGTACATGAAATATACAAGCACTATAATTTTAATATTGAAAATATGGATTTCAGTAAAAATAATAAATATTATTTCTCATTATTAAAGTTTAAATATCATTTGCACAAAAATTTGCACAAAATACAAATTACGTGGTAAAGAAGAAAAATTTAGTTCAAGTCATTGTGAATAAGAACTTGAAATTATATAAAATTATAAGTTTAGAAATACCTTGGACTTTGTATTTTTGTACAACAATGTAAAATAGATACATTGCTGAGAATATATTTTTAATAAAATTTTCTTCGACAAATAATTTATTATATTAATTTTCCAACAATTTATCTATTAAGAAATGATGATTTCAAAAATTTAATAACAAGTTATCTAATAATTTTATCATTTATTAAAAAATTTTATAAAGTTATGTTCTATGATATTAATATGATATTAATTTTAATATGGAGTAATTAATATGTAACGATATAATTATAAATTATGAGATTAAAATATATTATTATTTTTTGTCAGTATATATTTACAATCATTCTGTTTGAAATATTAAATATCAATGGAAATCTTTTTATTAATAAGATTATTATTATAAAATATTACTATATAATAATTTTATTTTATATATTATGCAATGTTATCATTTGCTATACAATTAAGAAAACAATAGATATTATTTATATTATAGATATATGTTATTATAATATAATATATTAATATTATAATAATAAATCTTTACTATCCGTATGAAAATAAGAAAAAAAATAAATTTTCTGATATATAAAAATAAAAAATCACACAATTTCCTTTTTTTTAATCTATTTCGAGCTTTTTGAAGGTTCCCTCGACACCGAAGAAATCATTCGCAATCTTATTTTTTCCAATACGCAATGATTCATCTACAGTAGATAATTTCAGCTCTTCGACAAACCATTCTCGTTTATCGTCGATCTCTTTTATCCCATTTTCGTGCATTTGAATTATCGATCCTGCTTTTCCTCCGATTTCATTGGAAGAAGATCGAGGGAAACAAATTCTTCCAATGTTTTTAACGACGAATGTAAATGTATCTGAAAAAGAAATTAATGTTATCTATTTTATCTAAAATTATTGAACAAGTAAGATAAATAGTAAAATTAACAATAATCAAAATATTTCATATGTGCAATGTACAATGCAATACTTGATTATAAATTTGACAGAAAAAATATATTACTCTATAGATTGGGAAATTATCATTTTACTTAGAGTTTAATGTAAATAAGCAAATTATTTCTTACGTAAGATAGATATATAGACAAATAAAAATTATTCTTTAGAGAGATGTCTCTTAATTGTATGTCAATCTCATCATTGCAAATATAAATTGCAAACAATCACTATATTCATTACAAATGCAAATTGCAAATGTACATTAAATAAAAAATAAAAGAGAATAAAATAGAAATCGATATATATGATTTGTGATTTATGCTAATTGATAAATATACAAAAGTCTCTATACATTATTTTACAAAAAAATTCATCCAAGCCAAAAATTAAATTTTAATGAAAGTTTATGTAATATATTATATGCAAAATATGTATTTTTAATTTTTATGATTAATTTTTATTTAAGTAATAAAATATTTATGATCATTTTTTCATCATTTCAATAATTCAATGATATTTTGTTAATTAAAAAATTATTCCACATATGTAATGACTACGCTTTACTCATAATTTCATATAAAACGGAATTGTTCTTATTGTTCAATAATATAATTGATTTCCCATGAGATATAAAGACTTATATAAGTATATTATTGAACATATATGTTAAACGTATACATTATTAATATTTTCATAAATTGATAATTACTAATTGAACATTTAAACTAATTAAACAAAAATTATTATCTGAGAATTTATTTTATAGATAAAATAGATATGATTATAATTATGAAAATAAATAAATAATGTAATACATATATAAAACACGTGAAATCTAATTATTTTAGTATTAAATTGAAGCATTTAAAAATAATAATAATAATGTATAAAGAAAATTTCAAGTTGTTTTCAAGTTGTATGTAAAATTTAATATCGTTACGAAATCTTTTACCATATTCCAAAATTCCTTTTTCATGAATGGCTTCGCCATATTTATTATCACGTCCATTACCGATGGAGTATTGATAAAATGTATTCCTTTAAGTCGAACAGGTATTCCTTCTTGGATATACATCACCAACTTCTTCATACCCATAGGACTTATTCGTCCAACGTGGCCCAAAGACACATTAGTTGAATCTCCAATAAAAATATACCCATCGCAAATACCATTTCTTAAACCAATTAAATCACTTCCCATAAAGAAATATTTGCAACTATCTTCGAAAGAGTAATGTGATGGATCGGTATCTATTAATTTCGCGAAAAGTATCTTGTGTCCTTGTTTCGAGAGTCCAGGCAATTCAGTCACGAATCTGTATTGCAGATAAAAAATTAAATTTTTTTATTTTTCCGCAATGAAAGAACCATGAACGAATGATAATTGATAATAATGAACGAAAGAATATACAAAGAAGAAGTAAAACTCACACGACATTGAATGTCTGACGCAATTCTTTCGATCCTAAAGGATCTCTGTTTGCGAAAAACTCAGGAACATGAGATCTAATGGTGAAAAAATTCTCTATAGTATTTTTAGCCGCTTCTATGCTATAATAAGTACTGTGTAAAAACATAATTAAATGTAGATCTGAAGGTTTAGGCAAATGTTGTTGTTTTTCACACCATTCCCTCAACATCTCGATATCTGATATTTTTAATTCCGGATTCTTTTTCAGTTCTTCCTCCATTGAAAAAGGATAAGGCACAGGAATTATCTTCTTTGCAGCCATGTTTGTTTCACACTACAAACAAGTCGGACTAAACAGATGAATTAAAAAAAACTAATTCCGCTGAAGAAGAAATAAGAGTTTTTATCGCGTTGCGGCAATTATTATATCAAGATTCTTGAATTATAAAAAAAATTTATTAAGCCTTGATCACTGAATCACGATAAATATAGCACTATTACTTCATCGATTCCACATCTAGAATATTACCGGTTGATGAAATAGAATTGTTCTTGTGAATATCAATTCAAGATAAGGCAAAAAAGTAACACCGATCGCCAAGAGAATTGGTTTAATGTCTCAACGAAGAGTGAAAGAAACTGTGGACGTCTTGATTTTTAATTCATACCACAAATTAATTGGACTCGAATTCGTATGCTGTAACGTGTTATGAAGCAACAGCACTAGGTCAGGTGTAGAAAACGTGTTCATTTCCGATTAAAGAGTAGCGTATTTTCTCCCCATATTTTTTCTCCGGATTTGTACAAGCACGGAAGAAGTAGATAATTACTGTAACCATCAAACCATATATTAGACGTTCTCAATCATTTTGTTTATATATACTTAAGAAGATTTTGAAGGAAAATCAAAAGAGATTAAAAATAACATCCTGTTTCATTAGAAAAATCTTTTTACTAAAAAATATAATAGTCGAATTTTATAAAAACTGAATTAATAATAATAAATGATTGTAGTTGTATTAAAAAATTATTAATTGTTTTTTAAAAATAATAATGGATACTTATTTTAATTAATTATGCAATTTCTGAGGACAGATATAATGCATTTCATTAAGATTCATCGATTGTTAATTAATTTTCATAAGGGAACATGAACAAAAGAATTATGAAAGCATTCGTCGGAATGAAAGAGGTCGGCGATGCAAAAGAATCGCGACGCTTTCTAATTTAATCATTTTCTGATCTAATTCCTTGATGTTCCGCTTTGGAAGCGGATATCCTGATGATTATGAAATTCTTAATAATCCATATTTAATTAGAAGATTAAATAATATAACTAAAAGCTAATTATAAAAATAATAATTATATTTTAATTTTTTGAATAAGATTTTACATACAAAATAAAATAAAATTTTTAAGTATATTATTTTTAAAGCAAAAGAAATGATTTTCCTTGCATGAAAAACTATACACTAACTATTAATATAAAATAAGTATAATATATTAAAAATAACAAGTTTTGCATATGTATTTATATATTATAGTTACATACTTACTATGATTTGAAAAACATTTCATTAGATAACAGCATGCAATACTAATATATGACTTCAACGAAATATCCAATTGTTTTTAATTTAAGCAATGCATTATATCACATGTTGCAAATTAATAATATGATATAATAATTTATACAAAAATTTTATTATTTTTTTTAATTATTAATCTTTCTTGTAAATAATATAATGAATTCATCTTAAATTTTTATATTATTATATTAAAAATTTAAATATCTATATACATTATTTTAAATATGAAATAAAAATATTAATTTCACATTTCTATCTTTTAGTCTAAAAGATCTCTGATTTCTTACAACAAAATGTACTTTTTCGTTCCTTAAGTGGCCATAGAAAACAATGGCGCTCTTGTCGCTACAATGTATTTGATTACAATTTACTTACCTGTGACTTTGTGACATAAGCTTCGATATGTATACGAAAACTTTCAGAGTAGTAAAGAATTGTAAAGAAATTTCTGGTAAGGACTGTACAAATTTTGCAATTGGATTCAAATATATTTTACCCGTTTTTTAATAAAAAAGATAGTGTTTTATAATCATTGTGGTCGAAAATAATCGACTATTACGAATTAATGTACTATGAACCGTTTGGATGATCCTCCAAGTCTCATGAAAGGCAGAAAACCATCTTTCATTGGAATGAACGGTATTTTTTATATATATAATATATAAATTATATTTTCATAATTCTTAAAAGTCTTAAGATTGTTGCTTCTGTAAACAAATCAATTGTATATTATTTATTTTTTATTCATATTAATGTATGTATTATTATAGACAACATTTTATATAAAATTTCATTTTGTTAATTGAATTAAAAGAGTATTACTTTTTCTTTCTTAATTTATATTTTCATAAATATATTTATATACTTCGTAAATTTTTCTCTATTAGATTTAGTATTACTTGTATCTTTTAAATTACTTTTTTATATCGATAAATATATGAATTTAACATATCTATTATTTTTACTTTTTTTAAAATTATATATATATATATATATAAAATTAATATTTTAAAATATAATAATTATAAATTATATGTACTTGTTCCTTAACTAGTTCCTAAGTTTTAGGTTATATTTAGAATAGTTAGGTTATATAGGCAGTTTTTTATTCTCTTATATAAAAAATAATTCAATCTAAAAATTATATTGAAAATTATTATAATGATAATTATAATGATAATTTTTACTATATTTTTTATTTAATGCATTTGTTTTTAGGGGGTCCTGAAACAGATGATCAACAACGCTTAAGATTTCAAGTTGAATTAGAATTTGTTCAATGTCTTGCAAATCCAAATTATTTAAATTGTATGTTAAATAATAATTAAAATATTTTGTAATTTATTAAGAAAATACTTATAATTATTATTTCAGTTTTAGCACAACGTGGTTATTTTAAGGATTCAACATTTATAAATTATCTTAAATATCTGTTATATTGGAAAGAACCAGAATATGCAAAATATTTGAAATATCCTATGTGTTTGTACTTTTTAGATTTATTACAATATGAACATTTTAGAAGAGAAGTAGTAAATTCTCAATGTACAAAGTTTATAGATGATCAACAAATTTTATTATGGCAACATTATACCAGACGTAGAACAAGATTGTTACAGACTGCTGCAGAACAAACACAACATACAAATCCTCAAAATAATGGTATTGTACAACCTAAAGTTCCTTGAGTAATATATGACAAACTCATTAAATGGGTCCATAAGAACTACAATATTAAAATGGCATTACAATAATGTCTATAACTGTAGTTCCTTATCAGAATTGTTTTAGTTATGTTTTTTGGCTGTGATAAATCACAAATAAAGTACTTTTCTATGTTCTCAATATATCTCTGATTACATTTCTCCCTTTTTTCCTTCTATTTCTTGTTTATAATAATATGTTTGTTTGTTTGTGTTAACATGTATTTAATATATATAATATAATCTATGAAATATATCAAAATAATTATTTAAAACTTAATTATATAAATAAAATGCTAATTTAACTAAAATAAATGAATAATATTATAAAAATTTCAGTATCTAGTAAATATCAAATTTAGAGAAGTATATTATTTTAAATATTGTGTGGAAACAATCTGAAATAAAGACACTCCAATTGTAGAATCTGATTTTGGACGAATGATGCTGAAACCTGAATAGCTGTTAACGCATAAATGTTTATGACTTTATGCTTCAAGACTGTGGAAGAAAATTATTGAAGACATGGATAAAAATGCAAATTTGAATGATCTTAGTAAGTCTATTTATAATATTCATTTATAAAGTTTAATTTATTTTAAAACATTGTATGTCAATGTAACATTTTTATTCTATTCTAGTTTTTTTTTTTTTGAAATCTTTTACTCAAAATTTTTATTTTTTAAAAAAAATGACAATAAAAGAATATACTTACTGTGACAAAATAATAAAGTACACACACACACACACACATACATATCTAATATATATATGTCTATGTAATTATGCTTATTATATAAAAATAATCTTTACTTAATCCTTATATTTAAATTATTATAATGCAAACTTTGGCATTTATTAGATTTATATACAAAATTATTAATTTAGTATGTTAATATCTAATTAAAAGTAAAATAAGAATATTATTTTGATTTCACTTGTACAAAATGTTATTTTTGTAAATTAATTTCATAATTATATATACAAATATATTTATTTAACGTTGATAATAAAAAAAAATTGTAAAAATAATATTTAAAAAAAACTAATACACATCGTTAATTCAGCCTCTAAAATGCAAAAATTAAAGAATTTATATCACTTATGGTTAATTATTTTAATTTATAACACTTAAATGTATAATAGGCAGTGATAACTGATTGATCACTATAACTTTTCTAACATTTGATACATTAAACATACAGTTAATAAATAATATTAGATTATTATAAACTATTATAGTAATCTAATATATTCGTATACATGAAGAATATAATACACAATGATACATATTTCTAAAAATTATTATTTTATGAAAAATATTGTATCATTTTTCACTAGCAGTTTAAATTCATATGAATTTAATTTACGTGTAAATTAATAAATGCATATTTTTATACATGCATTTAATTATTATACATGCATGCATATTTTATGATTATAAATTAAATAATCAATTTTAACTATTAATTACACAAAAAAAACTAAACATGAAACATTGTAATTATTTCAAAAATTTATACCTCAAATATTTTAGTAAAAAAAAATATCATAAATTTCAAATAAATCTTTACCATAATATATAAATGATCACATTTTATCAAATGATTAGTCACAATTTGTCAATATATTTATGACAATGTGATATTAATTTATCCTATATAAAATTTGAAATATTTCACTCAGAATTCTTATTCTCTGTGAAATTCACTAAAATGCCATTTCCCGCATCCACCCAATCTTCCGAAAATAATTTCGCTCTAAGTATTTCCCTTTCCGAAGCATCCTCGATGTCAGGCGCATTCTCACTGTTTAAATTTTCATTATTTTTCTTTTCTTTATCTCTCCTTCTTACAATCAACAGTTCAGAATCCTCCGTTGTATCTGGTAAAATCTTGTTTAAAGTTTCTGGTAAAATTAAAGCAAATGCCCCAGATCCTAAGCAGAGCATTCCAATAATTATTAATGGAATGGTAACTGGAAAATATTCTCCCTTAAAAAGAAAATTACATTTATTATATATTCATTTATTATTTCAAAATGAATATTTTAAAAAGAAAGCGGAAATTCGTGTCGAATCGTGTATTTAATTTTTCCTACTCCCAATTCTGTACGTTCCGCTAATTAATTCTAAAATAATTACTGGAATGTAAAATCTTACCGATAATAATTCGTGTGGCGTACATAAACTGCCGATTTTCGCGAAAACGATGCATAAGCCTAAGCAAGTTCCTCGCACAACTGTCGGAAATATCTCGACCGTATACAAGTATGTTATGGAAACGGTGCTCATTACTGCTATTCTACCGAGTAAAAGTATAATGGTCTTCGTGAGATCTGAAAATAATCGTTAAAAGTGAACGAGTGTTTAAAAAAATGATCTTGTTACCAATATAAGATTACGTACCAATTGCAGTTGTGGGATTCGATAAGATAATTATGGCTGCTAATAAGATGCAAATTGCACCTGTAATTGATTGATATGCTGACATTGACAATCGTCTGCCATATCTAGACAATATGAAATAGAGAAAGATGTAAGTTGCAATTTCTAATGCTCCTCCTAATGCAAAAACGATATGCCTATTAAAAGAGAAATTTGGAACGAGTGTCATAAAGACACAACATGCTACAGAAGATGTGAACCTTGAATAAAAAGAAAAAAAAAAAAGATAAATAGTTACGTAAACAAGAAAGGAATAATTGCATTGATTGATTAAAAATATTTGAAAAATCTTACCATTGATACATCATTATAATGCCGTATTTTTTCAACAGCATAGATTTAAACAATTCCAACAATTCTTCTTTTGTTTGCACGTTACTGGATTTTTCTTCGATCTTATTACACTTTTTCTTATACTCATCTTTGCTCGTTATTCTTTTTTTATCGGCGCCCGTAATTCTACGGTATCATACGCATTTTTTATCGAAAGTCTTTGACTTCCAGCTGGCTGCGATATCGATTTCGATTTTCGATGACTTTTCGAGCTCGATGCGATATTCCTCTTTTCCATTTCTTCATTTTCGTATTGCTTCGACTCCACCTCTGATTCCGTTTTGCCAAGCTTGCTTTCTAAATTTTCTGAAATCGCTCTCAAACTTGTTTCTGAAAAATGTACATCATTTTTCTTCGTGTTAATCATAGTATATAATAGTAAATAATAAAATAATTGATAAAAAAAAATTTTTTTATTTTGACGAAATAAGATTCATCTTTTACTTCGAACTTTTTGTTGAAGCGTATCCGTTGTATTACTATTCAGCAAATTCGCAGCTTCTTCTTTCATTTCGTTATCGGTTTTCGATTTCTTCAAGTCTGCACACGAGACGCGCGACTTCCTTCCGGTTTCGTCGGCATCGCGCTCTCGAGAACGTTTGCATCCGATTTAACACGTTCTCCTCGAGATAATCTAGTGCAACAGACATTGTATTTCGCGATACGTTCCAACGCCATATCTGCTTCCGTTGTTTTTCCCTTTGCCAGTAACCATCTTGGCGATTCTGGTATCATCCTAAGATACATTTCATAATCATACATAAATTT